TGATAGCTGTCTGTAAGTGGGCAATGAATGACTTCTTAAAATATAGAACAAATGCAGACCAGTTTTTCATTAAAAAAAAATATCAATATTTTATCTTTTGGAATCTTTCATATATCTGAAGAATTTAAAGAATATTAATATGCTGGAAGGTGTACTCTTTCAGTTTGCTTTAAACAAGGAGTAGTTACTACCTCTCTGAAAGATACTCATGTGTAGTTATAGTGAGGACGTTCTTTGGTTGTTGTTTATTTTATATGGTGTTTGCAAAAGAAAACATGGCCATGAGAAAAGACATAAAAGGACTTTTCTTGCTTTTCTGATTATTTCAGTTTCAAAATCCATGGAGGAATCTGATTTAGTTAATGTGGGGTTGTATTCTTAAAACTGGTTGTCAGCAAGCTTTTGAAAATCAGTCAGTTAAAAAGACTATTGTCTCCTGAGTTCAATTCTTTAAAAAGATTTTTCCTTTTTTTTTCCTGTGTTTATTATATAACACCAGTATTGATATCTCTCACAAAGTATAGCTCATAGTTCTTCCAGAAGCATATAGTTTTTCAGCTCAATTATTCTTCAGAACTGCACATGCACACTAGTCATCAAATCAGTCTGTTCCTTGCTTTTTATTTGGAAGTCAGTAGTATTGTTGCTTGGCTTGCTCTTTGTGATCTTTTCATGCATTGCTTTTTACCCGTTCTTCTGTCTGTTGGAAAAAAGCCTCCAATGGATAGCAATTTTTTCTTTCTTTTTGGATAAAATAGATCTGGCATTAAAAGTAACATGTTTTTTCTGATGGATTTTTTCTCAGATATCCTGATTGCAGATGGTATTTGTTGAGAGGTACAAAACCACTATTTGAGATGTAGGAGATGGTACATGTTTGGTTTTGGTTTTTCCCTTCCCTCAAGATTGATTGGAAAAATCACGTGTGCGACTTTAAAGAATGAGACCTGTGTAATGCTTCAAAATTGAAATCTCTTAACTAAACAGTTTTGTTTTAAATATATCCTACCACAGATTTTATCCTAAAGATTCTTTGACACTAATCTTACAATGCATATACTCCTCATTTTTTGTCAAAGACAATGTTTTGGAGGATTTTTTTCTTTTGGTAATGACACCGTGTTCCAGCTTGGTCTCTAAAGAAGCATCATTTGGTTTTGTTTCGCTAGCATCTTACGTGTAGAGAGATGTGGTTGTTCCAGTTGTGTGTGGTTGTCAGACTCTTGCATTGGTCTGAATGCTCATCATGAGCTTTCACGTAGATTTCTGCCTGCAAGTTTTGGAAGGGCTTCCCGAGTTCTCACAGTAGGAACGTACTAATGGACAATTTTCCTTGTCTTCTAAGGTCACACCATGAAATGTAGCTGTTTGGATCAGCTTTCGGAGCCCATGGGGCCTGTGATGTTAAGACAAGGAAGGTCACACTGGGAGAAAGTCTGTTAAGAGCCAGTGTTGCTCTGAAGACAATCTCTGATGCCGAGAACTGTTTTTTAGAGGCTGTAGTAGTGGAACTTCTGTTTAAAATTAAAAAGTAAAAAACGACTACAAGTGTCTTAACATTGGGAGCTCAGTCTTCAGGTTTGAAGGTTGATTCAAACTGCACTTGCTTGCTGTCCCCTAACTCTGAGGATTGCTCTCATGAGGTTAGGTAGAAAACAATATGCAAATCCAAGAGATTTAAAACAGAGGAAATTACAGAAAAGGACTGTGTCCTCCATACCTGAATTTCTGCATTGTGAAATGTGAGATCAGGTTATCTTATTTAAAAGTTACTCATTGAATTACAGGATAGTAAACAGTAAGCAAGCTAAAGTATTAAGCCCCAAACCATTGCTGATAGATATTAAAAACTTGAAACATGTTCTTTTTATTAGACCCTGCCTCTAGTGTCTCATCCCCTGGCAGCCTCTGCTCCAGAGGCTGACTTCAATGACTTTTTGTGGTGCAATTTTCAGTACCTCTGGGGTGAACAAAACTACAGAGAGCAATAACACAAAGCATCATATAGAGGCACAGTTCTCTTGGCTTTGCTATTGTCTTTGTCAGAAATCCATAGAGAAGTTTGTTGTTCATAACTGGTAGTAGGAAGGGAGAAAACAGTATTAACAATATAATTGTTCTGATGTTGTTTCCTTGACCAAGTATCATCGTCAGCTTGGGCCCATATATAGCTTATGTCATGTTTCCGTACAAATTTCCCTGCAGGTATGAATATCGAACTGTTCTTGTCAGAAGAAGTAAGATTGCTTTATGGTATTGAGGTCCCTTCATCTTAATAGAGGCTCCCTGGAAAACATATCCTTACACTGGGTGAGGCTGTTTCTGGATCAGCACCTGAATTATGATTTTTTTTTTTTTTAACATACATTTTATCACGTGGAGAAAAAAGCCTTCTGTCTGTGTTCTCTCTTCTCTAGAGAGAGAGGTTACAAGTAGGATGGTGTGGGGTGTGAGGCTGGCCAGTTGGGTTTCCTCACAGATCAAGACAGAACTGTGAAGGTGTTCCAGGATCTGTAGCACTCTGGCTGCCCGTTGCTGTGCTCTGAGTAAGGAAGGGAACAGTGACTGTGGTGGCATGTGTATAAATCAGCAAGCATGCACACCTCTTGGGCTCCAGATGCTGGAAGCAAGGAGATGAAGTTCAGGAAAACATGGCTGAGCTTTGGTCTTCATGTCTGATTCTCTGGGACACAGTACTTCGTTCTGTTTTCATTGGTGATACCAATGAAAAGCTTGTTTATGAAAATAAAAACATATGCATGGTAGATAAGGACGTGTAAAGCCGTTAAAGCTGCTGTGATTTAGAAAGCAAGCTGTGAATTATAGCTTCTCTTCTGTAAGAACAATCCTTACTTAGCTTTCTTGTTGATTCCCATCGCTAAGTCTTTTGTATGTGCATCTAAATAAACAAGTGAAAACTGGAAAGCCATTAGAAAATGCCTGCATTTGCATTTTCAGTGGAACTTGGTTCCTAATTGGGAATTTCTTTTGAGTGTGGGGGTGAGGAGAAAACCTCATTACTATGATTCTGGTGTGTGTTTGGCTAAGACTGGCATCAAATCCAATGACTTCTCAGTGATCTAGAGCAGATCTGCCCTCTAAGGCTTAAAACAATCTTTGTTTTGTTTTGGCACCTGATGACTGGTGCTGTAGAAAATGTGCTTTTGGATTTGGTGTTATATAGGAAATTTGGCTTCTGGCCTCTAGATCATGACATACCTTTTGCGGGTTTTCTGGATTCCCTAGTACTACAAATCTTCTGCCTATCTAGGTACTTCTTCCCTGTGGTCAAGTAGTCTTCTGCATTATAGGTTTTCATTAGCCAAACAAACCCATCACAGATGTGTTGGAAGAATTTGCAAAGGATTGGTTTAAGGAACTGCACAGAGGGGCTTCTGTGAAGACATGTAAAGGTTTCTGTAAAGGAGCATGTAAGGTTTTCTTTGTGTAAACATAAAATGAAATATCATTGTATTGCAGTATATAATTTTTTAAAATCTGGTCTTAAAAAAGAATCTCTGCAAAATGTAATAAATATAAACAAAAAACCCCAAAAGACTGATTACCAGACCAAAACTAAAAGGAACCTTGGATTTCTCATGTAACCTGAAGACCAGCCTAATGCCTCTATAACTTAGTGAAACTTCCCAAGATGTTTGTGATAGACAAATCAGTCCTGTCTTAGAGTTTCTGGGTATTGTAAGTTGTGGAAAGGTGAAGATACTGTTTTTTAAAAAAATAATCCTACACCAAACAAGCTATTCGACAGTGCTACAGAGAGTTAATAAAAATTCTTTTAAAGCTCGTAAAGTCTTGCCACATGCTCCCCTGCAGAATGTGAAATCAAACTGTTTCTCTGATAAATCTTCTAATTTTAGAGATCCAAGTATCAATTTCAAAGTTCGGAACGCTTTCAAACAGAAGCTCAGAAGAGCTTTTGGTGTTGGTTGATTCAATTTATCTGCTGATGCAGTGCCCTCTGGTGGGCTAAAGCTCTAGGGTACCACTGTCAGAGCCATGCAAGGCTTTTCAGCTGCGTGGATTATTTCTGAAATTCATGTATGACCTCGTATTTATGTTCCTTCTATCTGGAGGGCATGCAAATGATGACATTTTTACTTACTCGGATAAATGCGTTGCACAATTTGTTTTATTCTTGTTTATAAAAGCTTTATGCTACCACCAACCTCTTCAAAGAAAATAGATCACTGAGATTTTCTGTCTTATAACCAGAGTAGATTTTTTTTCCTTAATATATACTGAGAACCTTGCATCCTTTTCTGTGGCACATAGCAGCTGCGCAGCAGCACTGATGCCAGTTGTGACCCACCCCCCTTTCATTGTCACACGAATACTGGCTACAGCCGTTGTCTCACTTTGCTTTTTGGATACTGAGAAAGTGTGGGGTTTGTACTGTGAGTCACTCACAGAAGAGAAACGTGGGATTTCAACGACTGTTTTAATATAAAGCCTTACAGTTACGCCTATACAATGTCAAGTTGAAAGTATAAATTCAAAGCTAATGCAAGCAACCTTTTTCATTTTCTTGCAAAAAACTGTCGATCTTAATCAGTGTTTTAGATTTGCTTTCATGTAGGTGGTATTTAACAATTATTTGTAGCTACAGAAATGAACAAACCAAAAAAGCCTTTATTTAGTGTTCTGCTCTGCGCACGCATGTATGCAGATAGGGGAGAATGAGAAAGTAAAAGGGCAAAAGTTTGCACGCCATATTTACGATTCATCAGGTTATTGGATCGGGTGCAGCACCATCCAAATACAATGGACTGTTCTCACCTCTTAGTGGGTATTGAATTAGTTTATATTGTAGTAGATGGTATGTTTTCAACTGATGTGATGGACTGGTATGTATATGTTGTTTGAAAATCCAATTTGCACTTTTTTATGCAAAACACAATTTGCAAATTTATTTCAAAGGCTAGCTCATATAAAATGTTGTATCTTCAAATCATTTGCAACAATGCTGTCTTTTCTTTAAGGTTTTGAAAAAGGGAAGGATGATGTGTCACAAAGCAAAGAGGATACAGCACATTCTATGTCAAAAAGCAAGGTAAGGAAAGCAGCTTCCTAATCTGGCTTAAAAATGTCAGTGTGCAAAGGAGTTGAGAGAATTTTTAATTAAATGCAAATGTATTTAACTTTTGTTGTAGATAATCTTGAAGATTACTCTTCAGATTCAGCAATAGATAAAGGTTAAAGGGAATTTCTTAATATAGTTCTCAGGATGATGTCACATAAAAGCCTATAGTTCAAACGAGTGAAAGTGAAATGTGGAGTCTTCACACAGTCATCTTGGGGTGGGATGTTGCCTCCCCAAATATAATGATGGATGGAGGCCAACTCTTGCTATGGAACAGAATTTAAAATCCTTTTAAGCTGTAGATGAAGATGCTGTTCACTGAGCTGTAGCAAATCTTCTAAGAATGTTAAAGAAAGTGTAATTGAAAAAGAGTTAGTTTAATGGCTTAAATTGCCAGAGAAAGCATAGTTAAGTGTAATCTATTGTCCTGTCTGTTGCAAGGGTTTCTGTACCTCAGAATTCAAGTATAAAGGCCCATTTAGTTGAGGCAATGAGAGTGCAAAGGAAAGCATGCTCAGTCGAATATTAAACTAGATATAATTGCTGTGCGTGTTTATGCTTTCTGTGAGTCTTGATAATAGAAATGGAAAAGACAGGAGCAAAGCAAATTCACAATCATCACTGTGTATTCCCAAGATGGAAGAGGCTCACTGAGATGCAGTGAAAACAGAGAACGTACAAAGTGGGGCTAGGACATGGACACTGCACTCGCCAAAACCATAGAATATTGGGGGTGGCTAAACTTTAAAAAGGAAGAAAACATGAACTACCTGAGCAACCAAAAACAGTCTTTATGTAGAGATCCCAGGTCTTTTCTTTCCAGAACTGTATTTTGTTCTAATCACAATTATTTACATGAGTAGTTTGCAGTAGCATTCTGATTCAGAGTAAAATGTTCTTTTCTGATGGTATTGAAATAGGAGGCACGTGATGAGACGTGTGCAAAAACTCATTGTAATAGCATAGAGAAAAATCTACCATAGCTAACTCTTCCTTTCCCAAATCCTTGTAAATTTGTAGGTTACGGTTATAGAAGCTGTCAGTTTTAGGACATTGTGTAGGTTGCTCTGATGCAATCTTCTTTATTGGTTGGCCTATTGTAACTCTTAAAGTGCATGAACATTTTGGTCAGCAAAAGTGCCTGGCATGTCAATGCACTGAATTTTTATGTAGTGCTTTTTATGTATTTAGAATGTGGAATTCCAGAAAAAACTATTTTAAATTGGCTGTCTCGTAAAACAGGCATCTCTTTTTCTTCAAGACATTAAAGATTAAAGAGAAGAGGGAAAGACTGCATTTTGTGAAGGGGGAGGTTGTGTATGGTTTAATCACTGAACGGAGTACCTAACTTCACTTGTTTTTCTTATTTAGACGTTGCTACAGGATAGAGTTTAAAGGCTTTAAATCACCCTGCTGTGGGATTTTCTATTTTGTGCTGTTTTTAGAAGCGCCAGTGTCACAACAGACACTTAACCAGATTGTCAGGGCACAGCAGGCGTGGGCTGCTCTGTAGGAGACCTGAGCTTGAACACGGGTAGCTCCCAAGGGAACCGGGGAGATGCCTGCTCCTCGCCGCTTTCGCGCACAGCTTGCTCTTTCCATAGCGCTCTGCTGCAAGGTTAGCACTGCAGTCCATCAGAGCTGCCCTGGGGGACAGGGGGATTGCACCCAAGGTCTTGACACAAATTTTTCTGTGGTATGTCATCTGTCGGAGCCTTAAAGAGAAACGTTAAAGAGATATCGAAGGAAATCAAAGCGACTTAAAGGGAGCGTTTTCCTGCTTTAAATGGTGTAATCAGAATTGCACTGGGGTGAGCAGGTTAGTTTCCGCAGCTGATGCTGCAGTTCTGTGGTGTGTAGCTAAGCATTTCAAGCTGTTGGTGTCTTACATCTGACTTGGAGTCACAGAACTTTGCGTCTCTCAGCTTTACTGCATCCTAGAGCCTCACTTGTCAGGGAGACCGAGGAAGCATACTTTACCATCCAGGTCGCTTCTGATCAAAATATTTATGTTGGTCCAGAAACCTCTAAATCATTTTTGACTTGGAAATCAAGTTAATACTGTCTCTTTTAACTTGGATTTATTTCAGACTCTATTAATCATTTATCTTTGACTATCCAATTTGTTTTTTTTCTTCCCTGGGTTTTTTGGTGGTTTGTTTTTTTTTTTGGGGGGGGTTCTTACCTTTAAGTCTTTGTGTGCTTTGCCATTACTTTTGTTTGTGTCTTTCTACTATCAAAGATGAGACCAGTATTCCTACTTTTCCTAATATGTTTATGTCTTTATCTTTATTTTTGCCATTACTGCATGTGGAGCTTGATAAGACTAGTGGTTCCTTTATAACCCACTTCAGACTAACAGAAGATGCTAATTGTCTGTCACAGCTGCGAAAGTAAAGTAGCAGCCCTTCTTTTTCAATAAGGATGGAAAAGCAGTGATGAGACTTGCCCAGAATCTGGGAGTTGCAGTAGGTTCTCTTAAAATGTTTTCTTCTTTTAAATTTTGATCCCATTCACTTTATGTGGATGTAACACTGAGAAAGTTACTAGCTTAAAAATATACGAACCACTGATCTGTCTCATAATCCATTGGACAGGTAAATAACGGGCCTTTACTCAGTGTCATATTAGCGAGCTTTAAAACTGAGATACTGAGAAAATGAGTTTTTGTAACCTGTGCTACTTACTGGTTTGGAGCTTTTATATGCATGACCTCTAGATTGCATTAGCCTTCTGTTAGTGAGCAACTAGAATATTTATGAATGTTTTACTTAAGTTGCTACATTATAGCTTGCATAACGAGTTCATTACCTCTTCTTATATGACAGTGATAAGCATTTTCCCCTCTTCTGTTATTACATTTAAAGTACTGTATTTCCTTCAACTTCTAGACAGAGGAATTAAATTTCAAGTTGTATGCTTGTCTTAAAGCTAGATTTTGAGTGTTAAGAACATATCTTTAATACAAAATGAAGGTGTTTCCTTCATTTTTCCAAGATGTATGTGGAAGTTAGAGAACATTTACGTATCATTAAAATGATTTTGAGATAAAATTCCTTTTTGCCCATTATTGCACATCTTTTTTGACACTAGCTAAGTAAGTAGACTCCTGTAAAGTCTTAGTTCTGAATTAAAGCCATCAGAGTAGGATCAAAGTTAAATTGCTTTGTTTCACTTGTAAATCTTTATTTACTTGTAAATTTTTATTTATTTGGTTTGAGCAACTTCTGAAAAAGAGTACTCACATGCACTGTTTTTATTATTGCAGTAAGTTTTCTCAAAACTTGGACATTTTTTTGACTGTCATTTTCTAGTATTCCAAAATAGAAATTCGGTGAATAAACTTTGCCTTGTATTCTGAGATTTGAAACGACTCGTCAGAAATGTTGAACAGCTTGAGGAGCAGTTCTCGTAAACTGTGTAAATTTAAGGACAGTTTAGAAGTTTACATTGGGGTTTTTTTGTTTGTTGGGGTTTTTGTTTTTGGTGGTTTTTTTTTTGGACTAGGCAGGAACTTTGGGTCCATCAGGTTTATATTTCAGTGCACAAAGAAATGCAACTCTTCGTAATTTATCCAAAGTTTATATATAGTGGATACCTACTTAGTGTTCTCTGAGTTGCAAGAGGAATGACATAACTCTGTGATAGACTTTTTTTCTTTTTTCTTTTTTCTTTTTTCTTTTTTCTTTTTTCTTTTTTTCTTTTTTTCTTTAAGAGCTCTGTATCCCAGCATGAATCTTTGATAGCTATCAATTCCTTTCAGCTTGTAGGCAACAGATGCCAAGGAATAAACTTTGAACCTTAGAAGATGTGAGGAGAGGTGGGAGGGAGAAATCACGTGGTGCTGAGGCAGCATATTGTCCTGCCATGAACAAGAACTTGGGTTTCATGAACTAACCTGAGTCTTGTTCCCCTGGCTATTGCCACTGTGAGCTTCTTGAAGATGACTTGCAAAAAGTAATCAGAGCGTGGGATTAGGGAGGAAGGAGCAGAAGGAATACCGTTGGTGGTCAGTTGTACTCTGGTAATTTATAGAGCACTGAATCCTAGATTGAAGAGGCTGTGTTTTCCTTCATGGGTCATGGGGTAAGTGCCTCTATAGCAATCCATTCGTAGGAGCTGTCAAGTTATGAATAAAGATGTTGGAATTCATATGTCATGAGAATGACTTCTGTGTTTAAACACTGGGATTCTCCTAAAACCTTCTCTCTCTGTTAAAATAATGCCTGACTAGTCAAGACTGCAGCATACCAAGTAACAGACTACATGGGCTAAATATTTACTGCATGTAGTTCAGCTTCTCCTGGAGGAATCTCAGACTTCTTCCTCATAAAAACCTTATGAAAAACACTCTGTAAATAGGTGGTGAACAGCTCACGTTACAAGTTGTAGTTCGGATTTTTTTGTTAAGTGGGAGAAACAGTAGAGAAGTGAGTGAGAATGGGAACCTTACAAACATAACTGTGCACTTCAAATACTTTGTAAAGTGCCTGCAACTGTAATATATCCTTGTATCTATCATCGTCATTTATTCATTATGCATTTTCTGAATTTCAGTCTGAATCCAAGCTTTTCAATGGCTCTGAGAAGGACATCTCTTTATCTTCAAGCAAGCTTACAAAAAAAGAATCTCTCAAGGTGAATTAATTTCCAAGTAACTCCTCATGGACTACAAATGCATGCACATAGTTTTACTGTATTCTCTAACGAGAAGACAAAAATGCCAAGTAGTGATGAGACCTCTTATTAAATATTGAAGTATTGTGAGAAGTAGTGGTGTTGATTCTCTTCAAACCTTATTGTATGCTACTTGAGTATGGGCTTCTATAATGTAGTCTTTAAGATAGCACAAGATTAACTCAGAAGATTATAGGATAATTCAGGTTGGCAGGGACTTCAGGACACTTACATGCAATGAAATGAAGAATTGCATTATCAAAAGTACAATTTACATGCAGTCCCTGTGTTTTTTCTACTGCCTTCTTCCCCCTGTGTTGTAAGAAGACCAGACTGCACTGTTTGGCAGATGTCACGTCAGGTGAAATATAAAATTATTTGCCTCTAAAAGGGAAATACATTGCTGCAGATTTCTACTGGGGAAGGAGAGTAATTGGTGGGTAAACACTACTGATCAGATAATGTACCTGTACAGCTGAATCTGGCCCAAATCTGGTTTTGTACTTTACACCAGGAAAGGAAGGGGGTGAGGGAGGTTGGTTGGTTGGTTTTCTCCCTGTGGTTCTAACAGGAGTTTCGAAGTCCTCAGTCTTGAAAGCAAATCACAGAAGAATCTGAAATTGGCTCTGTGGTAGCTGCTCTTGAAACAGACCTTGAAATAGTTGTTCACACCTGGAAGTCAAATACTGTGTTTTAAAGCTGCTTCCTCTGTATCTGTATTGCAAATTGAATTTAGTACATTTTTCCTCAGCTTGCATTGATAGATGTCTTTTTGTGCTCTGATTGCTCATTTATGGCTGTGGCATTGTAAATATTTTTATTATTATTTACAGGTTCAAAAGAAAAATTACAGAGAAGAAAAGAAGAGAGCTACAAAAGAATTACTTAGCACTATCACAGACCCATCAGTTATTGTTATGGCTGACTGGTTGAAGGTCAGAATCCAAGTGTGAAACCTGAGTTGAAGATGTAGCAGCTGGTTGCTGCTTTCTGACCAGAATAGAAAAGACTCAATCTTTTACTTGCTGTTAATGTTTTTCTACAAGCACAGCAGCCACTAATTGCATGCCAGGGTCTCTGTGCTCAGATCCTAGGGGAATAATGAAGGAACCTAGCTCCCACTTACTGCAGTCACCATAGTCACATGCATCTTGTGTGTATAGCCATTAACTTCAGATGAGTTGGCTTTACGATGTTTATTTTGTCCTTTTTGTTTTACACTTTGAATTGAAGCTCTGTTATGTCCATAACAATAGTGAAAGTGGTTCAGTCATATTAGATACTTGAATACAGATTTCTTTCTGTATTTCTTTCTGGTAGCTTTCCTTTCCTCTCGTAAGAACTAATGGACCTCTAATACTGGTACCAAAAGTGAGGAATTAATTTCTCAAAGATAGCAGTCAGTGTCATCAACAGTAGTGCAGTTTATATATTTCTATATAATTCCTTAAGTTTGTCAATGTATTCCTTGTAAATCGTACAAGAAAAAAAGATCTGTTACCCATTTTTATAGTTAGCTCCAAACAATAGCTTGTCTGGAAGAAGTTTCTTCAGGATCTTATGTTTCACATATGGGTTGAAGCTAACAGCTGCTGTAAGAGGTTTTTCCTAAAAAATTCAAGTATAACTGAGTTATTTTGTGAATATCCTATTTTTCTTATCTGACATCTGCCCTGTTCTCAGAGGAGTTCTGTTTCTAGAGATTATTCTGTCTTCATGCTAGTGGTAAAATATGTTCCGGATAGGAAAATTCATGAAGGTTTCAGATGAATTGCCGTACTTCCCATATCTGGATGTGTGCATACACATTTGTAGAATAAGTATTCATCAAGAAAAAAATAGAAGAGTGAGCATTAAAATTGTACCTTTGTATTGTCTTTGATAAACCTGGGTAAACTTTTGATAGACCTGATAAACTTTGCTTGAAATAAAAACAAATAAATAATTTCAATTTAAATGTTTGTTTTGTCAAGGGGGGCGGTTTTGGTATTGGCTTCACTTAACTCTAACTGTAACTATTTATCTTCTAGATTCGTGGTACCTTGAAAAGCTGGACCAAACTGTGGTGTGTACTGAAACCAGGAGTGTTGCTTGTTTACAAAACCCCCAAAAATGGCCAGTGGGTAGGAACAGTGCTCCTGAACGCTTGTGAACTCATTGAGAGGCCTTCTAAAAAAGATGGCTTTTGTTTCAAACTCTTTCATCCTTTGGAGCAGTCCATATGGGCTATAAAGGTTAGTGGTATGATTTTTAATGGATGACTAGCATTAGCCAGCTATGAGTAAAGACAACCTTAATGAAAAGCTGAACTGCATTTCCGTTATAACTTTAATGGTTTGTTTATTCTGAATATAAGCCTTCCACATCTAGTCCTCTTCATTACAAAATGTATTTGATTTATGCTGCTCTATATACTTAAATAGCTTCAGAAGTGTGGTGTGCAGGGGGATGCCATTAAAGAGGTTAATGCCATCACTGACAATCATGTAAATGGAAGGAATGAGTGCATAACATATTTTACATCAGTCAAATCTGCGAAATTAAGGAGGGGAGTGATTTGCTAAAATGAAGGAGTTGAGATACGTTATAAACATTTCTTGGCTTCCAACCCTATATTTATGCAATAAAATGTCAGCCTAGTTCAATTTGCTTGTAAGAGTAGAAATTCAAATTACTTCCTTGTGCAATAATAGCTTATATTGCAACTTGATAGCCAATTGTGTTCCTTTTTGGCTACAATTTTAGAAAGATAAATATTCACCTTCAGTTCTGCTGTCTGTTTGCTTTGTCATACATGGCATAATATTGTGAGCAGCTCTTATCTGTAAATGTTGAAAATCACAGTGTGTTCTGCACAGCAAAGGTTTATTTCAATTTCTGGTAAGAATCTTTAACGTTTGCTATTACTCATTGTTTATACTCTAGTAAACAAACTATTGTAGTCCTTGTTTTGTGCTTGCATATGGAGAGGGGGTGCGAAAGCACAGCACAAGTGAACATATTTACCTCCTGAAGTGACATCTTGCTTTAGATGAAATTACTGTATGTTATTAGGACCCTTGTCATAATAAATTAATTATGCCCTCTGCAACATACATCTTAAGATAGCTACTAATTATGAGATTGTATCTTCTGAATCTTAAATTGATATAGATGTACTGTCACATCTGTCAAATATGCTGCATTGATTTTGTCTGCCTTTTCTCAGACTGGGAAGTCAGCTAGTATAATCCTGATCTTTGTTTGTGGTCTCTCTGAATTGTTATCCTTATCAGTGTTACCTAAATTTACCAAACTTAGATAAAATCTTTTCTAGTTTCTTTTGAACGATTTTATTTTAATATTGCCTAGGAGGACTTTTCACTAATTAGTGATGATCTCACATTTGCAGAACATAAACTTCATATCCTTTTTCAAAGCTATAGGGTTTGGTGATAATGTGATTTAATTATTTATGATCATGTGTACATACATTGCAAAGTGGTGGCCTGTCTCCAGAAGATCACAAATCAGTCTTATATTTCTTTATTGCTTGGCAATGAGAAATGGATTTGTTTGTTTTTTTAACTAGATATTTAGAATTTAGAGGACATGCCCCACCAGATTTTTACTTTTTTAAGGTAGGTCAAATTTTGAACCTGAACAAGTTGATATTGTCCATTCTAAATGTGCTGAGAGCTGGAGTGGCGTTTGTTCATTTTGGTATGGCTATTTGCAGTTGAGAATTACTGGATTTAATTAGATGAAAGGCCTTGAAGTTTGAAACTTTTTTTCTGCCTTGCTTACCTAGTCAATTATAACACCCTAGTTAAAGATTTATTATCACGAGGCAAACTTTCATAAGCGTAATAGCAATTGACTGATTTACAGAGTAGATTTACTCGAACAAGCCTGAAATCTAAGGCAAAATGAGCCTTGTTTGCAGTCAGTGCAGGAAGATGACATTGCAAGAAACACTTACACAGGTGTAAGTACTGCAGGAGACTCTCACTTGGACACACTTCCCATAGTGTGTCCTTCTGGCAGACTGCAAATTCTCTTCTGCAGTAGTTTGTGGCCAGTCACTTCGCACGCTCCCTTAAGCCTGTTGCTGTGGTCTTTGATGTTCCTCCTGCACTCTGAGGTAGCTGATGCACTGTACCTTGTTCTTGTCTTCCTTGTGTGCCCGGTCCTGATGCCATTTCAGTTTTCTAAAATTAATAACTAGAAAAGTTACTGCAAATAATTTTTCATAAGTAAATTTGGTCAAGTGTGACTGCTTATCAGTTTTTATTGCTTTTTCTGGATATTCATGGCATTTGAGTTTTATTGGCATGAATATTATGTAGGAAGTGAACTTCAGAGTTTGTTGGGTTTCTTTTAATCTAGTGGAATTTTTAACTTGCCCATTACCTTGATTTGGAGTAGTTGTGCCATCATTTTGTCAGGAACAGACACAGTTCAAATAAAGTCACCTAACAAATGGAAGCTAATGTCTGTCTTGTACAGAACACTAACATACTGAAAATTGATTTTTAAACCATAATGGGCGATATCAAAGAAGAATGTCCAGTGCTTTTAGAACAGTAATCAATTAGAGGAAATCTAGATCCACGAGCAGTTATTCCCAAATAAGTCAACCTACTTAAATGTTTGCTGCAAATTATTCATTCAGTTTTCATCAATGTATTGTCAAAGCACCTATGGGAATATAGCTTTCTTTCATTAAAAACCCAACTCAAACACCAAAACCACACTTCATCTCTAAATTATAGTTGTTTGGTACAGAATAAGTAGTGTACCCTGCATGCCCATGGTATAACCCTAAAGGGGAGATCTTACGGGCACAGGTCTGCCCTTAGTCTGTGTCCTGTGACCTGAGAGTTTTGAGGACCTGTGATGGCTGATGCCTTTGCGTGGTGCTGGTGCACCCACGGTGCCGCTGTCCCCTCTGTGCAGCCCCCCAGTGCCTCTCGCAGCCCTGCCTGGCGTTGCACTGCGCCACCGTGCTCTCCTCTCCCCAGGGGCCTGGAGAGAGTGGGACCTCTTCCCTGCCTGCACACCTGCCCTCAGGGCGAGGAGTGCTCCAGCATGGGGTTGTCCCTTCTGGTTCTTCTAACTCACTAAGTCCTAATCCCTGTGTGGCCGCTTCACCAAAGACTTTTCGTAGGCGCACCTTTCGGCCCGCTAGGAAGGGGACTGAGGTTTGGAATGTTGTTTCTAACACCCAACTTGCTGTTGCTCCGTACTGACTGTCTGGGAGTTTCTGAACATCATTTACACCAGCACTAGCTTGCCTGTATTGGTATTTAAGTGCTACCAAGACTTCTCGTTTACCCGCCTCTCGCCCTCAGAAACGTTCTGGCTGTTTCATTTGCTTGCTTCTAAAATATCTGCCTTTATCTGCTTTTGCTCAAAACTTCTGCTGGCTTTCCAATTCCCTCTTCTAAGCCTTGTACTGGCTTTTCATTAGGCTTCTATCTGGGTGAAATCAGTCCAGACTAAAATGTGTTAATTCATCAGTTAGGCAGGCTTAACCCAGCTTTCAACAATAGCTTCAAGTATGTTTAATACAGCCCTCTTTGCCTACCAGTTGTCCTAAAGTTACCATAGGTAAACTTTTTTGAAGGGGCTTTAAAATGGTTGGTTAGCATTTTATAACAAAATAAAACTCGACAGAAATGGAAAGGTCTTTTGGATTTATTTTTCTTTTAATTTGGAATAGGAAGAACTTCATAGTGAAAATTAAGCTTTGGCATTTGACATCCTCTATGTGTATTTTAGTTGAACATAATGTCATGGTGTCCTGCTGATACCCTTTATAGAGAGACTTAAGCATCTAAGTGTCTTTTATGGACATTGGCATGATCTTTTTTTTCTTATTTAAATGCCAAGCCTACAGTTAGGCACCTAAATATTGTGTGGAATTGACTGATGGATAGGTAGAGAGGTTGAAGGGGAAGGAAGGAGGGAGAAGGGATGAGTGGGTTCCTATGGCAATACATAGTGTTTGGGTGGGAGGAGTTATTTCCATTTTATCTAAATCTTAATTGACTCATCTGTCTTCTGAAGACAGACAAAAATCCTGCCGTTCTGGAGCATAGGGTGCTGCTGCTGAGACACCAAGCATACTGTCATGTAAAATAAGCATGAAGTGGGTCTCTGAAGGGGGCCTCCCGTTCTCTGCAGGGGTCTGGCTTGCCTTCGTGTTTCTCTCGGCTATGAACCACAGCATCCTCGTAGGAATCGAGAGGATTGCTCTCATTGAGAATGAGTGGGACTGGAGGGGGCAGAACCAGTTGCTGTACAAATGTGGGGTCTTCTACAAGGCAGCATTTGTTGTAAATCAACTCTGTTAAACAACCCCACAGACATGTCTTTTGTTTTGCTTGCTTTCAATATTACCCCTTCAGCTGAAATACTGAGCTGAAGAGGAACGGCTTGTCCCTTGTGACCTCCCTACACCCATCTGCAGGAATCCCAGGACAGTGAGGGTGACTCCCCCATGGCATTTCTTTTGATGCTTTTGTCATCTTGCTATAAGTAGCATCAGCAGAGCATTTCCAAGCTACTATGCCAGGTCTGATTTACAAAAAAAAACAACCACAAAACCCCAAAACCAAACCAAACCAAAACCAGAAAAAACCCCCACCAACCACCAAAAAGTAATTGAATCCCAAAGACCATTCTTTTTAAAATGGGGTTGAATTGGGAGCTATACTTCGAATGAAGTATTTGAAGAAGAAATCCAGTAAAAGAGGGCTGTCCATCTTTCCATTCATGTCTTCATTAGATGTTGCTGAGTGACAGTAAATAGCCCTGCAGTGTGTCAGCTTGTTATTACATTGAATGATAAACTGTAAAACTGAATTAAAATATCTGATGCTGTTGCTTATTTTGTGTATTTCAAGGGTCCCAAAGGCGAAGCAGTTGGTTCTATAACTCAGCCATTGCCCAGCAGTTATTTGATCATCCGAGCTGCTTCAGAATCAGATGGTAAATAGGTATTTTGGTGTTTTTCCCCAGTGAAAGCAGTTAATTATTAGAAAGAGATGGCTTCAGTTGTATTACCATGTCTATTACAGCACTGTGATTGCAGTTTAATCATTGTTAAGGTTCTACCTTAACTTAGTGTATTCAGTTGTGTTGGTACTAGTAGTTTTTCATGGTTATTAAAGGAAAATTTTGACCTGAAGAAACTGTCATTGAACTCATTGCAGTTGCCTTGTGTTGGCTGGGGAGAAGAGGGGGAAGGGTTTATTTCAGATTTAACTATATTAATGTATGTCTAAATACTCAAGCTAGCACCTTTCTAAAGTGCTAATGTGGATATACTTTCTTTCTAATGAAAGCATTTGTGTATTATAAAGTGCAGCAGTTGCACAGAGTTCTAGTAGTAAAAATTCCCTCAAAATAAAGTTTTGTACCACCCTTCATCACTGGGAAGGTGGTGGTCAATATCAGTGCGACCATCTTCAAAGGTTACAATGTGGAAACAAAATCTGAATCTGTTGTGTCACTTTTTAGCAGCTGCTTTCCTCCTATTGCTTCATTAAACATAGCCCTGCAGACTTTAAAAAAAAGGACTCTGCCTTCTGTATTGAAAAATGGATTAGGTACATGGAAATGAAGAAATAAGGAGCAAGAACACCACACACATTTGTTTAGTTACTTTTAAAAAAAAAATAGAATGTCTGTTATTTAATGTTAAAATGACATTTATATGCTATCATTATAGCTCCTTTTCCACATTATTATTGTATTACATGAGCAAATTTTGCCAACTGATACAGTTACTTAGTCTTCAGAACTAGAGCAGGTCTGCAGGCAACTTTGGAGGAATTCAACAGTCAGGGCCTGGATGGAACCATACTTGCATTGAGGAAGAAACTCTGGAATATGCTCTAACAGAATCATGATTTACCTTGCTTGTCCTACCCCGAAGCATCCCTTGTACCAGAGCTGGGTAGTTGTGAGTTGTTTTTATGTCCCCACCAGATTATAAAATCCAATGCATGTAACATGGAACAACTCTGAAGAGTGTCTTCAAAGGCAATGTAAGCAGACCTAAAAGGATTGTGAAATTAGGAAATGGAAGTTATGTAGTTCAGTTAAACCCTTAATTTTTAGTCTAATAATAAATTTATCTTTAGGCAGGTGTTGGATGGATGCTTTGGAGCTGGCACTGAAATGTTCAAGTCTGCTTAAACGTACAATGATTAGAGAAGGTAAAGAACACGATTCAGCAGACACTACTCATGTCTCTCTCTATGGTCTGCTTCGTGCTAACAACTTGCACAGTGGAGAAAACTTACCGTAAGTGAATTAATTACTAAACCTGATTGTCCTTTTGGCAGAACCTTGTAGTGATTGTGACTCCACAGGGAGGATCTCTTTCCAAGTTTGCAGTTCTTTTTGCTCCTGAATTCCCTTTATATGCCTTGTTTGCACTGTCTTTTACATAGTATGTGGATAAAATGAAAAAATCTTTTCAAGCAAAGTGGATACAGAGGAAAGTTTGGCCGAAGGAACTTGAAGTTGAGTATCACATCAGTAAATGCTCAGTTAAACTGTTAAAGTTTTAATTTTTTTTATCTTGAAATTGGTCTCTCTTGTTAGCTTCACCTGAAAATAAGAAGTTTGGTACATGTGACAAAAGTTGGTAGATGTGAATATAAGTTGCTGTTCTTTGGTTAAAGAAATGAATAATCCTGTTGTTATTTAAATGGTTCCAGCATGTCTCAGCTTTGAATCATCAGCTGGATGAATAATGATTCAATCACCCTATTATTATATTAAATTAAATGCACAAAAGTTGAAATTATCTGGTATCACCTGGTCTCTAATGCCTGAGTGCCTTTGAGTAACTCCCTGTTTATTTCAATAGATACTTTCAGACAGATTTTTGGGAGCATAAGCTTTTGTGGAAACATTAAACAAGCATGGCGAATGAATGGTGTTTTCAAACACTTCAGTTGCGGTACTAAAGTACATTAGAAAATAGAAAAGGTTTAGTCCTTTATTTGAAATAATTGGGTCTGAAGTTTGCCCTATGCATGGTTTCACTCAGTAATCTTTCACCAATTTGATGTACTTTCAGGTGGATGTAAATTTATTTCAAATAACCCCTCCTACCCATGGAGATTTAGCTGCCCATCTGTCTTTTCTGGGTGGGCAGGAATTTTATACTGCTGTTAAGAGTATGCTCTTGTATTTGAGACAAAAGACTTGGACTAGGAGAAAAGCAATTCTTTCTGGTGCATGTAGTCTGAGAAAAGCACAGAAAAGGCAAATTATTGCCCCCAGCCTGTATTGAAGGCCACATCCAGATGACCAAGCAGGCTCACCTACAGTTTTGCTCCTTCTGTTACCTCATGGAAACAATAAAACTGCTGTCTACAATTCAGCTGGGGATCTGTACTCATAAATAGTAGTTTAATATCAGCAGCTGGCCCAGATTACAATCACAGCAATTAGCTACAACTGTTAAGTCTAATTAAGACTAATGGTTTAATTAAGTAGATCTTTGGATATAGCATATTCTAAGAGTATTCAGTGTGCTTAACTATCTAAGCAACAAAAGCTGCAAGCCTAGTTTTAATGGGGTTGGCAGGAGAGGGAGAAGAAAGGTGAAAGCAATTTTAGCTTCAGCTGAGAGCTACGTTAATCACAAGAGAAGGTCCAAGGAAAACATTGGACCAATACTTGTTGAAGATGGTCACCTGAAAAGTAGGAACGAAGAAAAAATAGAGACATTCAATGCTTTGTTTTGCCTCAGTCTTTAATAATACCAGTAGAGCTTAGGCTTGCCCGGTCCTCTGAGTTGGCGGAGCACGAGTGTGGGAACAGTAACTTTCCATTTGTGGACATTGAAGTCATAAGAGACCAGCTGTATCGGTCCATGGGGTCTGATGGGATTCATCTCAGAGTACGGAAGGAACTAGTGGATGTTACAGCAGGACCCCTCTCAATCATCTACCAAAGTCATTGGGAGGCTGGGGAGGTCCCTGCGGACTGGAAGCTAGCCAACATTATTCCAATTTACAAGAAGGGCATGAGGGAAGACCCAGGAAACTGCAGACCTGTTAGTCTAACCTCAGTTCCTGGAAATATTATGGAGATGATTATACTGGGTACTGTTGAAAGACATTTAAAGAACAATTCAATCATCGGGCACAGTCAACGTGGGTTCACAACGGGAAAGTCCTCTTTAACTAATTTGATATCCTTCTATGATAAGGTCACCCACTAGTGGATGAAGGGTAGGCGGTGGATGTAGTTTTTCTGAATCTTAGTAGGGCTTTTGATACTGTCCCTCACAGCATCCTTCTTGACAAGTTATCCAGCTGTGGGATGAGCAGGTTCACAGTGTGCTGCGTGAAGATCTGGCTGAATGGCAGGGCTCAAAGTGGTGTAATGAATGGTGCTATATTGGGCTGGTGACCAGTCACCAGTGGTGTTCCTCAGGGCTCAATTCTAGGGTTAGTTCTGCTCAATATATTTATCAACAATCTGGATGTAGGACTTGAATACACCATTAGCAAGTTTGCTGGTGATACCAAACTGGGAGGTGCTGTTGACTCCTGAGGGACAGGAGGCCTTGCAGAGGGATCTAGATAGACTGGAGCATTGGACAATGATCAACGGCATGAAATTTAACAAGTCCAAATGCTGGCTTCTGCACCTGGGACAGAGTAACACTAGGCACAGGTATAAGTTGGGAGAGGAGTGACGGAGAGCAGCCCTGAAGAAAGGGGTCTGGGGGTGCTGGTTGGCAGCAGGTCAACAGGAGTCAGCAGTGTGCCCTGGCAGCCCAGAGGGCAAACCCCATCCTGGGGAGCATCAACCACAGCATCACCAGCCGGCCAAAAGAGGGGATTATCCCACTGTATTCAGCGTTGGTGTGGCCTCACCTGGAGTACTGTGTGCAGCTCTGGGCCCCACAATTTAAGAAGGATGTGAAGGTCCTTGAATGAATCCAGAATAGGGCCAAAAAGCTGGTGACAGGGCTGGAAGGCGTGTCCTGTGAGGAGCAGCTAAGGACTTTGTCTGGTTTGGAGAAAAGGAGGCTGAGGGGTGACCTCATTGCTCTCTGCAGCTTCCTGAGGAGGGGAGGCAGAGAGGGGGGTGCTGAGCTGTTCTCTCTGGGATCCGGTAATAGGACACATGGGAACGATTCATGCATGAGAAGGGATTCAGACTGGACATTAGGAAGCATTTCTTTATGGAGCGGGTGGTCAAACACTGGAACAGACGTCCTAGAGAGGTGGTCAATGCCCCGAACCTGTCAGTGTTTAAGAGGCATTTGGACAATGCTCTTAATAACATGCTTTAACTTTTGGTGAGCCCTGAAGATGTCAGGCAGTTGGACTAGGTGATCGTTGTAGGTCCCTTCCAACTGAACTATTCCAAGTTTGGTGCGTTTGACAGTTCAGTGAGAAGAGTACATCCTATATGTTTCCATGAAAGCTAGTTTGACATTGCTGCCAGATCAGGCTTGATATTGGCAATTTCAGAGTGTATTTTATTTAGGTCCTGGTTTGGAAACATAAAATTATTGTGTGAAGTTGAAGATTCATTTAGCTTTTATTTTTTCTAGGTTAAATGACAGTGAAATTGAAAGGCATCACTTTAAAGATCAAGATATGTACTCTGACAAATCTGATAAGGAAAATGACCATGACCACGAGGAATCTGACAATGATGGATTGGGGAAAAGCGAAGAAAGTGATAGTGACACATCAGAGCGACAGGATGATTCTTACATCGATCCAGAGCCAATTGATATCAAGGAAACTACTTATTTAGAACAGAGTCATGAAGAAATCGGGGAGGTAAAAGTGCTGTTGATGTAGGGAGCAAGCAGCTTCTCCAAATAGAAAGCTGGTATTTTAGGGGTCAGGCTACACTTGAAAGCTGACTTGGAGGATTGGCTTTCCTATTTTCAGCAATAATGGGGGAAAAAAGTTCTGTTCACCCATGTTCTGCTCTGCTTTGCCGCTCTTGTGCTTGTGCCTGAGATTTTGACAGAGATAATGAGATTATCTGGAATATGGCTCAGACAGAGGTGCTCAGTTTGAAAGGGCCATCTGCAGCAGAAGCTGACCATGTCTACCCATCATTTTGTTGTTGCTTCTGTTTGGTTTTTATTAACTTCTGGGTTTTTTTTCTTCAAGTAAAAATCTTTAAGTTGAAGATTTTAATGCAAGGTGACATCTCTGTTTTTCTACTGCAAGAGAGGAGTTAAGCAGCTGTGAGGTCTGCAGAATTCAGTGGAAGGCTTGCTGTGTTTCTCATGTCACCTAGCATTCTACTACGATGCCCTAGAGCTGCCATTCCACTTCTGCAGGTTGTCTTCAGTATCTACGCAGGCAAATATGACAGGGATTTGTATGTTTTACTTGCTATAAAGACACCAGAAAAACTTAGTAACATAAATTGGGATGAGCTTTTTCACAAATCTCCCCTGTCTTCTCAAGTGCTAACTATGATATTTTTTTGCATACCTGTGGAACCTAAATACTTTGTGTTTTATTGCTTTCTAGTATTGTTTCTAGAAGAAGCAGTAGTTTAGGAAAAGTTGAGGAGTTTAAGTTGACAATAAATTCTTGAGTATGCATTTTAGAACTGCTCTGAAGAGAGAGATGCTTTTCCTACAACCTTTGGTTTTGATTTCAGAAACTATAAAGAATATCTCCCCTCTTCTTGAACAGAAAGGAGCATATTGGAGTGTGGCTGCTGGTTTTGCTCACTTACCCCTAAGTAGTGGCTTTCTTTAAGGAAAACCACTGATACTGTTGATGGGTTAAGGCAATGAAAAGCAGAAATGTGGCAACTTTCATGGTGGGGAAAAGTTGGTAGAATGAACAGCCCTTTGCTACGTAAGTCCTGCACCTGAGAACACAGGGTAATGTACTTGATGCCTAGGAAAGGACTAAGGGAGGATTTCTGAACAACATTCTACCGCAAACGTTTCTGTTTTAGGGCTGATGAAAACAAATGCAGGTTTTAATGCTGAATAGTATATCTATCGTACTTCATGAAGATGTGTCCTAAGTGTATTTAGAGCAACTTGATTTTTCTCCCATAGTTGCTTCAGCTTCTCTGAGTGGTTCATGTTGAGTGGTTCATTTCCATTGTCGTTGCATCTGTAGAATGTGTTGACCCATCTTGTGGAGGATTATTTTCTTTCTCCTTTCTCTAAGCAGTTTTTTGCTCATCCTAGGCAGGGGAGGCTGCTCAGACAGAAGTAGTGTCAGAAGAAAACAAAAGTCTGATCTGGACACTGCTGAAGCAAGTCCGGCCAGGAATGGACTTGTCCAAGGTTGTACTGCCTACGTTTATCTTGGAACCTCGTTCTTTCCTGGACAAGCTGTCTGATTACTACTACCATGCAGACTTTCTGTCTGAGTGAGTCAATCCTATCTCTGGTTTTCATTCTTCTCATTTTTTAAACTAAAATGGGGTAACAGCGTACACTGAAACATTTGATCTGGTCTACTTAAACAACATTGTTGACTGCTTAGAGTTTGAATGTTTGTCTGGCAATGTATCAGTTATCAGATATCCTTGTTTTCTGAAAGGTAACTGCCTGAGAGCTCAAATGGTACATCTTGAAGTCTGTCCTTTCAGTAATTTCATAGCAATTCTGTTGCAGATATTTGTGGTTTAGCTTTTGGAGACTGGTTAGAAGACTTCTCAAAATTAGTTTAATTTTTTTTCTCTAGGAGGAATATTTCAAATGGTAAAACAGTACCAATTAACCTTTTCGATACAGTGTTAAGTTCCATTCAGATTTACAGTTGCCTGCTTAAACGTAACTAATAAATTAAAGACTTTAAATTGAAATATTATTCAACTTTGAGTTCTGTATGTGAGTAGGCTGGTTCTCTAAAGTAGTATTTTATAAATGGAATGGGTGGAACAGGATTTAATATTACAAAGAACAGACTCAATTATGGAAAAAACATTGCTGATTTTTTGTTTGGTTTTCATTTTCAGACAATTATTTGAAAACTTTGATGTGATCAGGCTGAAAGTTTTACAGTACTGCAAATCAAAGAACCTTTGTTTTAGTCAGCTCCTACATTCAAGATATATCATGATTGATAGTGTCTTATGACTGAAACAATACTGATATTTGATCTGTGTGTTCTGTTTGCTTCATAGGGCTGCTCTTGAAGAAAATGCTTACAACCGCATGAAAAAAGTAGTGAAGTGGTATTTGTCAGGATTCTACAAAAAGCCAAAGGTGTCCTTTTCGCATATTATGTTATCTTTACTTCAGTCCTTGTGTCTAGTTTGAGGGCTTAGGGATGTGCTGGAGTTTTTCTTTTTAAACAATATTGCTATGCGTTTTTTCAAAGCGAGGTTAAGTTTTTATTATTTACATAAATGCATCATGGACCTTTTTGGTCCCTAGCCATGCTCAAAATAGACTATATTCAATTGCCGTTTTCCCTTGGAGTAGAAGCTGAACTAAACATTTTGCGATAAAGTTCTATTTGTGAGCCAGTTCTGTTTACCATTCTTCAGCGATAACATGCTGCAGTTGGAGGATTAGGTTTCCACTTCTTCATTTAGCTTTATGCTAAATACTCTTTATAGTCATGTTGGTGGGAAACAGTATTGAAAGAAGAAAGTACTTACTGCCTAACTTCAGACAAAAAGTCTATAGTAATTCTCCTGCAAAAAAAAAATCTTATATTCTGTTTGCCCTTATGTGTAGCCTGGAATAGTTTAGCCGATATACTAAATCTAGAAAGTACTCACTGCCTAACTTCAGACAAAAAGTCTACAGTAATTCTCCTGCAAAAAAAAATCTTATATTCTGTTTGCCCTTATGTGTAGCCTGGAATAGTTTAGCCGATATACTAAATCTATGATTTCCTTAGAATGAAGAGCAGAGTAACTGAGTATAATATTCAAATGATGAAATCAAGTACAATGTACTTTAGCATATATATTATGATTATATATTTTTTGTGTCTTACGTTCAGTGACAGACTGAAAGTATTTTGTGAGTTCTGTACCTGCATTGTATGGTTACTCTCTGTTCTATTTCTGTTTAGGGACTAAAAAAGCCGTACAATCCCATACTTGGTGAGACTTTCCGCTGCATGTGGATTCATCCAAGGACGAATAGCAAGACTTTTTACATTGCAGAACAGGTAGCTGCAATAACTGGAACAAATGTTTTTAGGAAAAATAAATGCATTTTTGTGCTAGCCAAATGATATGATAGTTTCAGAAAATTTATTTAAATATATCAATAGTATCCAAAAAGCTCTCCAGGTGAGCAGGTTTTTTTGCAGATGGCTCTTTTAAGTGTGTCTTTCTAGAGAGACAGAGAGAAAGGTGTTTCCAGCATTTCTGTTCCCTCATCCTCTAGTAAAAGTCAGGTGCTGATTTTCTTAACTCTTGAAATTCAGTAAGTGTTTGCTTGATCTTCATCTCTGAAGATTATAGTCACATTTCATATATATATTAACTGTATTCTATTATGTGCAGCTTGACTTTTGCATTCTGTCATTATTAGCTCAAGGTTTATACAATATTGAATGTTCTTTTTTTCTTTCTTTTTTTTTTTTTAAATATGTGGTTTTTTTCAACAGGTATCACATCATCCTCCAATATCTGCCTTCTACGTTAGTAACCGCAAGGACGGTTTTTGCCTTAGTGGTAGCATTCTGGCCAAATCAAAATTCTATGGTAAATAATGGGTTGTTTTTTTCAGTTGTACCTTTATTGAGGCGTGTAAAATTGGGTGCAAATGAGCTGTGTTTTGTGTATGAAAGAAGGTTGTTAGAAGAATCGGGGGTTTGATCATTGTGTTGTCCTTTCCTTGCAAAGTTTTTGCTACTGGTCTTGAAATTTAAATTTCCATTTTTGGAGAATTTTAATTTTTAATTGGAGACGCTGTGTATTATAGCTGCTTCACTAGGAAGGATAGATTGCAGTTCTAAATATACTGATGTTCTTAATTTTATTGCTCAGTTATTAGCAAATGTTGACTGTTGTCTTGCAGGCTGAAAAATGTGATTTTCTCTCTTTGAATTTCAGGGAATTCATTATCTGCCATCCTAGATGGAGAAGGACGGCTAACATTCCTAAACAGGGGAGAAGATTATGTAATGACAATGCCATATGCTCACTGTAAAGGTAGTGGGTTTTTTTCATTCTCTAGATGGCAATGTTATGAGAACAGAAGCTTATTATTCTAAATGGTTCATTATTCTAAATAGTATACTGTGTTGGATTTGAACTTGGCATCTGAGAAGAGTGTTCTGAATATCGGCCACATTGGTGGCTCTAGGCTTCCACATATTTTATCAGGAGAAAAATATATCTGTTGTTTAAGCAATGATCTATTTTTTGACACAGAAAAACATTTTTTTCGTACATAGTAAGAGCATATATATAGCTATCTGTCATTATGTGGCAGTAATTTACTGTTTGAGTTGCTTTTTTGGAAAAAAAAAAAAATTAGTTTTGAGCTTTTCCAATGTTTTCCTCTTGTAAACATAAAAGGCAATGTAGTATCCACACCTCACTGTGTGATTCGAGTGTAAATTGTGACCATTTGTCTTTAATTTCACTGTGGGAAGCCAATCAGTAGTTTGTAAAGTGTTCTGGAAGATCAATAGTAGTACAAAAAACATTGCAGAATTGCTGATTTTTAAACTGTTACTTATTCATGTTTATCTACCCATATATTCTCTGCCAGAATTCTTTCAGAAGCCTTGTCGTCAGCAACTATATTTTCATTTCAGATGTATGAAAATCAATTAGTAGAATTAGATAATTTGCTATTAGTTTGGTAGGCTTTTCTCTTTCCATTGTTCATGGATGTTTTTAATATTCTGTTGGATTTTTTTTTTTATGGCTTTGGTGACAAAAATAATACCTAACAATTAAAAAGCACATAACATATACATACATTCAAGTCAAACAGGAAGAAGGAGAACTAGTGTGACTAATAAAGCTGTTAGAGAGGGAGAAAAGTAGAAGAACATGCAGGGAAGAAGAATGTGCATGGTGAAAAAAACATATTTGCACATGCTTCCACTGTATGTAAAATATATTTGGTGTTTCAAACGCTGGATTGCAGAGGGAAAGACAGTAATCATGGGAAAGAACGGGTGCTCAGCGTTGTCAGCCCTGCAGTTCTAAAAGTCTTTAGGGAGGTGATCACTGTTGTCTTATATTGGTTGTCCATGACAGTCTTCACCTGTGGTCTGACTGTACATACCACTTCTGTTCAAGTGAAGTTTTTCTTTGCTCTCTTTGTCATGGACTTATTTTCCCGTCTTAACCTCAAAAGCTTCCCTCCTCCAATCGTCTCCAATAAGACTAAATACCACCCTTGCTGGAGGCAGCAGCATATGCTTGCCAAAGATACGTCTTAATAAACCGGTTTTCCTGCTTATCTGTAATTCATTTTTTCTTTCTGTTTGGGTTATCTTACTTGGCAGAAAGATCATGCTTATGATTAGAAAAGGTCATCTGAAAAGATGATTTTTTCCTCTGGCACAGACATGTTTACTCTAGGAATTGTGCCCAAAGATCTTAGGTTTTTTGTCTTGTTCAGTTATAAACATTCATTTTAGTTGTTTTTTCTCCTGCAGGAATTCTTTATGGCACAATGACCTTAGAGCTTGGGGGAACAGTCAACATCACCTGTGAGAAAACTGGCTACAGTGCAACAATTGAATTCAAACTCAAGGTTAGTAGTAAATGTTGTGAGTGGGCATAAGAAGGAGGATGAGCATAATGATAATTAAAAAAAATTATTAGGTCACTCCTTAGATATGATCTGATTTAATATGCAATTGTCTTTTTGGAAACTGAGGAATTTTCATTTTAACTGCTACATATCCAGTTATCTGTATCTAGCAAATAGTATTTTTTTATTTTTTTTTTTAAAGGGGAATTATATTGTCATTTCTTAATGTATTCTTCTGGGTCCAGAGGTTTTGACTGAAACTTACAGTGCTGTCTTCATCTCTGGTGATAAGAGATGCAAACATATTGCTAGTTGTATGAATCTTAAGAACAACTCTAGTGGGGGAAAAAGCTTATCTCTGTCTGTCTTATCTCCAGCAGTGGCAGCAGTGTGTGTCTAGGAAAGTGTAAGAACAGGGGAAGTGTTTCGTGATCTGATCAGTGGTTCAGGTATTTTGAGTATTGTTGTTAATATACTTCAGTGATTTTTAATTCTCTAAAAATGTTCAGGGTCTTTTTAAACTCCTGGAGAGCCCTTGGAAGAGAACTCAGACCCAGGTTCCCCTCTACCATCCTGGGTAAATTTAAGCTACTCGTGACACCTCAAATAAAGATGATGCAAAGGCTTTGGCTAGCATTTATATCGGCCTAATGCCCAGTGCTAAGCAACAGTTTGCATGGACTATTTTTGGCAGCTGTGTGTGCTGTAGGAGTACCTCCCCACTCACACAAGCTAACCAAAGGTTTCTAAACTATTTCTGAATGGCTTGCACTTCTGAAAAGTACATTTGCCATCTTTGAGGGAGAAACTGATTTAAAGCTGAACAAATAGTTGTTAAGTGTGCATGTGGAGAGGGAAACTGTATTCTGTTGAAATTATAGGGGAAACATAAAAGTTAGGAGGCTATGGCAATGGATATTTTGCCTCGTCAGCCCACAGGATACTTGTGCAGATGATCAAAAAGGCCGAAGAAAATCCCTGGCAATCATATCTGTTGTCGCTTCTGCAAGAGTTAATCTCTAGTAACAAATAGTCCTTCGCAAAGTGGTGAAATTAATGTAGCAAATGACTGTCCTCCGAGATACAACTGAGTCATGGTTTTCTGCATTATTTTCCATTTTCTTTCCACATTTCTTAGATAGTTAGCAAATCTTTTAAGAAAATACAGCATGAGAGAACAACATACTGTGGTTTTAGATTTGTTTTGGGCATTAACTAGGCAGAAGTTACAATATTAAAAGCCATTAGGGCTGTTTACATCACATTTCATAAACTCATTTTTTTCCTTAACCCTAAACATAAATACAAAAATAATTTGCTATTAAAATAAACATGAAAGCATTTCTTTTTGTTTTGCAGCCTTTTTTGGGTAACAATGACAGTGTTAACCAAATATCAGGGAAAATTAAGCTTGGCAAAGAAGTTCTGGCTATTTTGGAGGGTCACTGGGTAAGTAGTGAGTGATGGTATTTTATAAATTTGGGCTGATAGTTGGGACAGGTGAAAATAGCACTTAGTTACAAAAAAGACTCAGGTTTAAAATAGTTAGGTACCACTTTTATAGGAAGAATCTCTATAGTTAGGTAGTTCTCAAGAAAGTACAGAATCAACATAGTGTTACCTGCAACTGTTAAAAGGTGGAAAAGTTGTGTAATTTGAGTAGTTGATGAAGAAAATAAATTTCAGCTTGTGAAATGTTTTTAGTATATGTGTTAGTACCATGAAGAATTGTTACGGCACCAGCATGAAATGTTTAAATGTTTGTTTCAGTTCTGGTGAGATGACGCTGGCTCTGCTGGTTTTTGGACATGGTAATGGTTCTACTGCATCTATGTTCCAAGTTAGAACTAGCACAGAGTGCAGAAACTGAATTTTAAAGTTAGCGTATGTGATTATTCTTAACTACATGCACCCAAAAGAAATTCTTATTACAAAAAAAAAAAAAAAAAAAGCATATTACTCCCTTTTGTGTTCTTTTGGCACTCTTTGAGACTATTACAATTGAGGTAACTGAATTATATATGTTATAGGACAGTGAACTGATTATTCTTAACTACATGCATCCAAAAGAAATTCTTATTACCAAAAAAAAAAAAAAAAGCATATTACTCCTTTTTGTGTTCTTTCGGCACTCTTTGAGACTATTACAATTAAGATAACTGAATTATATATGTTATAGGACAGTGAAGTTACTATTAGTGACAAGAAGACAGATGTTTCAGAGACATTCTGGAATCCGACATCTGATATCAAGCAGCGTAGATTACCTAGATACACAGTGAAGTTTGAAGAGCAAGATGACTTTGAGTCAGAGAAGTAAGTTCACTTTATAACCATGTCTAATTATTTTGACAAAATTCATCTTTTCCAAATTATGAACAAATTATGATTTCTCTTTCCCATGTTTGCTGATATTGGCCTGTAAAACAAGAAAGCAACACCATTAAATACAAGATCATTATTTACAAACCTTACAATCATGGAAAGTCTTGATGGAAATGTAAATAAAACATAATTACAACGTGGTGATATTCTGTTTAGAGGTTGTTCCATTTACTTAGCCTTTAATTAAGGCAATGTTTGCAATTATTTCTATCAACCAGATTGTAACTCTCTATATTGCTCATTTGTCAGGCTTTGGCAACAAGTTACAAGAGCAATAAATAACAAAGACCAAACAGAAGCTACTCAAGAGAAATACGTTCTGGAAGAAGCTCAGAGAAAGAGTGCCAAAGAGAGGAAACTTAAGGGTGAAGAGTGGACGTGCAAGCTGTTCGATCAGGATTCAGTCACAGGAGAATGGCACTACAAATATGCCGAGTGAGTCCGGAAGTGCTGTAACGAAAACTGCTTGTTAAATGCTTGGTACTGTTGCTGAGCCTCTTCCTGTGGTTTCAGGAGCAAAAGAACTCAGATATATAACTGAGTTCAAACTCATTTTTATGGTTTAACCTAGCCAGCAGCTGAAACAACCACACAGCCATTTGCTCTCTCATCCCCCAGTGGGATGCGGGGAGAACTGGAGAAGAAAAAAAAAGGTAAAACTCATGGGTTGAGATAAAGACAGTTTAATAGGACAGAAAAGAAAGATAATGATAAAAGAGTATGTGAAACAAGTGATGCACAGTACAGTTGCTCCCCACCCGCTGACTGATGCCCAGCTAGTTCCCAAGCCGTGGTCGTGCCCTCAGCCAGCTTCCCCCATATTATATACTGAGCATGATGTCATATGATATGGAATATCCCTTTGGTCAGTTGGGATCAGCTGTCCTGGCTGTGTCCCCTCCCAGCTTCATGTGTACCCCCAGCCTCCTCGCTGGTGGGGGGGTGTGAGAAGCTGAAAAGTCCTTGTCTTACTGTGAACGCTGCCCAGCAACAACCAAAATATCAGTGTGTTAATCAACACCATTCTCATCCTAAATCCAAAACGCAGCACTATATCCCCTACCAGGAAGAAAATTAACCCTATCCCAACCAAAACCAGGACACCTGTGAAATACGCAATGCTATTTGATATTCTTATTTATGTATTTTAATTAAAATGCATAATTTTTTAGCTGAACTTGGTTGGCCCTTTTAATGTTGAACAGGTGGTGATGGCTAATGCAGCAAACCATGTTTCATGTAACCACTGCAATAGGCTTTTTCTTTTTTAACTTTATGGTTATGTGCCTCTACAAATCCACGTTCTAGAGTTTCTTGGGCATGGCACTTTGGGATGCATTGTGCTCCTTTCCCTCTCCCCAGACTGACCAGAGCAGTGACACAGATTTTCCCAGGCTAGAAAATACAGTATATTACGGCATACCCACTAGAAATCAGAAAATCTAGTTTCTGGAAATCAGAAAAGCCTGTGCTTACTTGAACTGAGCTATTTAATTTGTTATATATTAGAATAACTGAGAATAACAGGTTTACAGCAATGGTTAGTGCTGGGACCAGATGGCTCTGCTCAGCTGTCAAACGTGCACAGCGCACACAAGTGTCTGTGAATCTCTTTGTGTGATGATCTGGATCACAAGATGAAGATGTAGCTGTCTCCCTGACTCCTGGGATGCATGCTGTGTTCTCACCAGTGCTTGCAAAAGTCAGCTTGGGGCTGAGCCTTTTACTAGTGATGGTTTTTGCAGAACACCCACATTCTGCTGATTCTTTTTCAATACAGAACGTGCTTCTATATTGCAGGGGTTGTAAAAGTAAAACATCCAAAGATGATACACTATGCGTTAAGTAATTCTGAAGCCATGGATGCTAGAAGTATACTCCCATGGCTAAACCTGGGAATCCTTCACCTTTCTATACAAGAATGGCAATATTGGCTCAGTGGCCCAAGTGTATGTATAGGGAAGAGTACAAGAATCCTGAGTACTTTTGTCTCCAGCAAACTTGTAACTCAGAGGTTTCCTGGAGCCAAGCAGGGATTCTGTGTATTTATTAACTCTCAATAGATTTATTTTCCATGTATTGCCTTGGTTTCCTCTTAAGTTTGTGCAGATTTTCACCACCCAAAACATCCTGCAGCAGGGAATTCCCCAACTAGACAAAATACTCTGTGAAACACCCTCTCTTGGCTTGAACCTTCTAGTGCTGTTGATGCCTCTTCCTGTTGGAAGAGTTGTGAATAGTCCAGCTGAATTGACTGCCCAAACTGTTGAACCCTGTGTAAAACCATCGGGAAAAGTACTGCACTTTAAATCTGTTAGGTCTTAAAGCTGCAGGGGACAGTCTGTTTTATTAATCTGTGTTATTTCTTGTCTGATTGAGGCCTTGTGGGTCAAGGATGTGCCACAGTAAGACCAGTTGTTCTCTGAGTACCCAGGCCCCTGAGCTGGAAGACAGGGACAGAGAGCAGAATGAAGCCCCCATAATCCAATGGGAAATGGTTAGTGACCTGCTACCACACAAGTCTAAGGGGCTGGATGGGATCTGCCAGCTCCCTCAGTACTCTTGGGTGGCAGTGCTCACCAAGCCACTTTCCATCATTTATCAGCAGTCCTGGCTAACCAGGGAGGTCCTAGTTGACTTGGAGGTCAGCAAATGTGACAGCCATTTACAAGGGCTGGAGGAGGATGCAGGTAACTACAGGCCTGTCAGTCTGACCTCAGTGCCAGGGAAGGTTATGGAGCAGATCACCTTGAGTGCCATCTTGTGGTACATACAGGACAACCAAGTGATCAGGCCCAGTCAGCATGCGTTTATGAAAGGCAGATCCTGCTTGACTAACCTTCTATGAGAAGGTATCCCACTTAATGGATGAGGGGAAGGCTGTGGATGTTGCCTACCTAGACTTTAGTAAAGCCTTTGACACCATTTCCCACAGCATTCTCCTGGAGAAACTGATGGCTCATGACTTGGACGGATATATGCTTTGCTGGGTAAAAAACTGGCTGGATGGCCGGGCCCAAAGAGTTGTGGTGAATGGAGTTAAATCCAGGTGGCAGCTGGTCACAAGTTGTGTCCCTCAGGGCTCAGTACTGGGGCCAGTTCTATTTAATGTCTTTATCAGTGATCTGGACGAGGGGATCGAGAGCACCCTCAGTAAGTTTGCAGACAACTCCAAGCTGTTCCTGCCTCTGCTTGAGGGTAGGAAGGCTCTACAGAGGTGTCTGGACAGGCTGGATTGATGGGCCAAGGCCAACTGAGGTTCAACAAGGCTCAGTGCTGGGTCCTGCAAAACAATCCCGTGGGTCACATCCTGGGTCACAGCAACCCCAGGAAAGGCTACAGGCTTGGGGAAGAGTGGCTGGAGAGGGCACCCGACAGAAAAGACCTGGAGGTGTTGGTCGACAGCTGGCTGAATATGAGCCAGCAGTGTGCCCAGGTGGCCAAGAAGGCCAGCAACATCCTGGCTTCTATCAGAAACAGTGTGGCCAGCAGGACCAGGGAAGTGATCGTCCCCCTGTACTCGGCACCGGTGAGGCTGCACCTCGAGTGCTGTGTTCAGTTTTGGGCCCCTCACTACAAAAAGGACATTGAGGTGCTGGAGCGTGTCCATTTCTTCACAGGAAGGGTTGTCAGGCATTGGAAGAGGCTGCCCAGGGAAGTGGTGGACTTAACCATCCCTGGAGGTATTTAAAAGACATGTAGATATGGTGCTTAGGGACAGGGTTTAGTGTTGGACTTGGCAGTGCTAGGTTAATGGTTGGACCCAATCTTAAAGGTCTTTTCCAACCAAAACAAATCTGTGATTCTATGATTCTTAACCTCTCCTTCCTAGGTATCTTTTAAAAGAAAAAACAAAAAAAGCAGTCCAAAATAATCATAATAATTTTTAAAATCCTCTAATTTCCCTGTAGTTCTAAAATAATAACTGTACATTAAGCAGAAAACCTCTCCATGTTTGACAAACAGGTATCACTAGCCACATAAATTCATAATGTTATTGTTGATTAATATCATAGAATCATAGAATGTTTTGGGTTGGAAGGGACCTTAAAGATCATCTAGTTCCAACCCCCCTGCTGCAGGCAGGGACACCCTCCACTAGACCACATTGCCCAAAGCCTCATCCTAATAGCTTGTACTCTTACCAGCTGGCTGAGGGTTTGACCTGGACATGAAGTCTATTTCTTGGCTCTCTTGGGCCAAGACTGGTCTATAGGTGAAAGATAAGATTGCTTGTTCTATGCCTGACTTCTATATAGGGAGAGAGAGCTTTAACCTGTTCATACTGAGTAGTTTCTAAGCAGGAAAATATTTCTTATTTAAATTGCTGTGGTATAAATCAATTATATTTGCTTTCTCTAGTACCAGACCATGGGACCCTTTGAATGATATGATCCAATTTGAAAAAGATGGCACCATCCAAACAAAAGTTCGACATCGGACACCAATGGTATGTTCCAGTTCTGTTAGCAGGTGCAGCAAGATCCAGGGACTTGTATATATTGCATTATGTGTATAAAGGTCATCAAAACATTGGGAGTGATGGGTAATGCTATTGTTACCCCACAAAAATGTAGTTTACGCTGTCCATGGTCTTGCACTTCTGTGTTGCCTCCCAAGTGGTAGAGATGACTTGATCGGATGAGAATATAAAATATACAGACTCAGACTCAACAGCTGAATGTGTCTTTTCCCTTAAATGGGAAGATGCACAAACTTCATACTGCTTACATATCAAAAATTTTCACTTGGACTTCTGTTAGATATTGTACTTTACTACTATTAGAATGTGCTGCTTTGCTACAGTTCTGGTTCTCTGGAAATAATTCATAAGTTTATCGATTGTAGGTTAGTGTTCCAAAAATCAAACGAAAGCCAGCCAGCCAGAAGAAAGGGGAGTGTGGCTTCTCATCCCCGGAGCCTGATAACCAAGATTCCTCTGGGAGTGAAGGTGGGAAAAGATACATTTGCATCCAGAAATAATAAATTTATTTGACAGTGAAACAGAGTTCTGTAGTCACATGTTCTTATCTGGATGGTTGTGTTATAAAATAATGCATGCTTTAGATCACAGTTCTATCCAGTGTGAGTGAAGCACATTCTGGAAAAACGAAGCAGAATGGTTTATGGTTTTAATTGCAAACTTTCCTGTCCTTTTAAACATCAGGATGTAGTCTAGGTAGGCCTAAGTATTGCACATATTTAGTATCTGGGGAAAAAATAGTGTTTGTAAACTCTTCCTTTCTTAAAAGAAGATGAATCATTTTAATTCGTAGATCAGTATGTTGCTAGAAGGCAGATTTTTGTTGTTGATAATGCTTGCAGAAATTAAACAATACAGTGAGTGTTTTAAGATACGTCAAGCGCTTAACTTGCTGTCCTGTGCTGTAGGTGACTCTGAAACAAAGCTTTAGTTTTCAGTAGAAGCTTAGTTGGAAAACTTTCTCCTCATTTTTGCTAACTGGTTTAGTTTGTCATTAGTACTTTCTTCCTTTTTTGACTTAGCAGTCATTTCTGTGAATAACATCTGGCTGTTTTATCTTTGTAGCGCAACTTCTGAAGCATAATACAAGAATAAGGAAAAAAGGGGCAGACCTTGGTGAACTGCAGAGTGCCATTGAATCTATAAAGGAAACACAAGAAGACATTAAGAGGTAGTACTAACTAAAATGCTTTCCAATGGTTTAGAGAATACTAATTTTCTAGCTTTTTACCTTGGAGGCTGGTATGTACTTTCTGCTTTAGAGCCTTGATGTCTTTAAACTACCCTTCCTCCCAAATGTTGATTGCTCATTGATGTGTCATAATTTTCCTCAAAAACTGTCTTCTGTAGGGAGCCCTAACATACCAGAAAATGCCACATTGTCTTGATTGTCATTTACAGGATATTATTTTTATCTTACAGGGACATTATGGCTCTACGAAATAGAGTTGCTTCTAATTCACCACCCGTGGACTACCGTTTCTTGCAGTTTAAGCACTATATCATCATTTTACTCATGGTTCTGCTACAGCTTATCATTAATTTTGTGTTCAAATAGGAAGTGTGAACAAGGGCCTTTCTGAACTGGAATGATCGAACTGTTACTGGGGACCATATTTTAAGTTGGACTTTAAATGATGCAATACTATCTAAAAGAGCCCTGTAGCAACAACTTACAGAACTTTGCCTCAGCGTCCGTGGTTCAGAATCATACTCCCGTCTACCCAGTTGAAGTAAGAATTGTGTAAGTGCCAGTACACTCTTGCTCCTGGTGTGTGCCTCTCTCTCGCAGACATACGACATCCGCCTTGTGTTTTATATTACGTCATATGCTGTACTGATGAATCTCCACCGCAGAATAGATGAAGTTAGAAATTCAGAGGTCGGACCCTGTAGGTAGGGTGTGATTCCTGTTATGGTAGAATGATAAACAAGCATACTTTGTTACACTTAAACTTACTGGTTTTGTAACAAAGGAACTTTCGAAGTAGCCAACAATTTTTGTAAATGGCATTGGGTGTTTGGGAGAAAACTTTTGTTTAAGGTCAAACAAATACTTTATTGTACAAAGGTCATGAGTGTTAGGAACTGGCAAGTAAAAAGCTGAAGTCTTTGGGAATTTTGCAATGTAATGTCCTCGATTTGTTTTTGGAAGTATGACAGTTTTTATCCACTATAGTGGCTTGTAAGCCAGTTGTTTTATTTTTATAGTTTTAAAACTTCAGATTCTTCATAAAAACATTCCTGCATCTACTGTACAGAGCACATTTTTAACAGTACAGCACCCAGGAAGGTGCTGTCTTGGTCCACTCTCTCATGAACTGCAAATGTCAATGATTTACAGTATGTTTGTAAGTCTTGATAAATCTACAGCTTTGAATTTACATTTGTGTATGGCCACGTCACAGTAAGCAGACAGACTGCTGATGCCAGGACACACTCTTATTTTTGAAACAAAATGTGAAGATGCAGAGGTGCTTAGTATGTAGCTTGAGTTGAACCTCCCAAAAGACAGACAATGTAGAACAGAATTCAGGCACCATTGTGAGTTCACTTGCAAATGAAAACGCGTATTTGCAAGGGGAAAGTCTTCAGAAATTGTGGGATGGCTAACAACACGCGTATTGAAACAAATGAGAGTGAAACCCTAAGCCTTTGTTAAATTCCTCCTTACTGCAGTGCATACTACCTAACAGAACACATGGATGCACCTATTCATTATGCCATAGCCATAGAAATTAATGGGAAGTTTCAGTTTAAAACCAGGGTTTCTAACACTTTTATTCAAAGAAATATATGCATGTATCAAACTTGTAAAATTCCAGCAAAAAAATTTAGCACCAGTGTTTATCTGGTGAATTCCTTATGCCAGTGAAGCGTACCGAGTCAAAAGGGGGCTGTAGGATTGCAGACGTACTCTCAGGAACCCAGATGAGACAACAGGAGGGTGAGTGGCGCAACGCAAAGGGCAGCCAGGTTTGTTTTCCGAGGATTCTCTCAGAAATCAAATCCATCCTGGGCAGTGGAACAGTTCAAAGGTCGCGTTTGGCTTTTTGCCATGGCCCGGTTATCTATCCCTCTGCCTTGGGCAGCCTCCCTGACTCTCCAGGTGACCTACCTTTCTGTTCTGCATCAGTCTCACCCAGTGTTTAGTGAAAATACTATTTACGTGTTGTGTATCAGTCTAGCTCATATATTCCTGACATCTTCACACACCTCCCCTTCTCTTTTACCTTTCCCCTTCTTTGGGCCTCAGCTGTGTAAAAGCTTATTGCTTAAGCAGTCAACGTCAGCTTATTTCTTACAGCTGCATATTAGCATAGTTTGGTCTTGAATCATTTTATGGAACGTGGTACCTTAACCAGACTGATCTTGTATATGTGGGCAAGACCAAACTTGCTTGGACTTCTATTACATCTACAGCTGATGAGGTAGAATTTGTAAATATAGAAAGTCCCTTGCTGTTTAAAATTTTTTTAAAAATCCCTAAGTCTCTAAACAGAAACTGATGTTGTTAGCCATGTATAAAATGGCATAAAGAAAGGAGATTATTATGGCATTAGTTGTAATGTTCTCAGCCTGGAATTTGGCCATTCATTACCGCATTCAGATGTCAAAGCTTCACCTGTCTTAAGATCCATTACAAGCCTTTAAGCATACTCTGCATGTGGGAGTAATACAAGAGGAAATGAGTGAGAATTTGGGCAATAACTTCAATCCCCTACAATAATACCCTGCTAAATTTGAGGTGCTGAAACTCTTGGCTGATAGTTACAAGCTTTTATCTCCCTTGTAAATAGAAATGTCCTTCTGCCCTTTCATGTTGCTTTTTTTTTTTAATCCCTTCTATTCAAGATCAGTTAATAACACAGTCTGCATGTATTTTTATACAGACTGCATGGTAGTAAGTGTGGATTTGACCCAGCCAGCTGGCTGGCAGCGCTGTGTTGGTCAATGTCAGACTAAACAGATACTCCATATCTGAAATTCATGCTCAGCTCAAGAGAATTAGAAGACTTGAGCAGAGTGAGACAAAATGCCTCTGCTTATGTTCCTTTTCAACTTATTTTTTAGAGTTCAGTTCTGTTGTAAAAGTGGTTTTAGTGATGATCCAGGAAGGTGGATATATGATGAAACTTTTTGAAAGGGAAAATTCCAGACTTCTGCTTGACTGTATTAGATAAATTCTAAAAAATACATCGAAAACCTAATAATTCCTGTTTTGCTGGGGGTTTTATGATGTTCTCTCATGTGAATAGAACAAAGAAATTTCTTGCCTGATTTTTACAGTACAGCTGGTCACAGGCGTGTATGAAGCCTTTTCTTTAGCGCATCACCATTGTTCTATTTAACCATGATGTGTAGCTGATCTTGAATATTACATGCTTCAGGCTGAGCTCTGCACACAGTTAGAAAAATGGATTGTACACTTTGCAGATGTTTGAGGGCTGTGACCTCCTGATTTTTAAAGTTTAAAACAGCACTCCTTTTCACATTTGATTTACAAATCTTGTTTTGTTCAATTTTTTTTTTCTTGTACAGGAAATATTTTCAGAATTTGTTGCCATGTGGTTTTGTTGTTTTGGTTTTGTTTGTTTTTTTTTTCAAATGCACTCTAAGCCTTTAATTTGCCATTTAGGTACAGATTGCCTAGTTAGGTACAGACGACCCAAGGTAAGAAAAAGTAAATATGCCATGTGAAATGTAGCAAGTATCAGTTTCAGCAGTAGATGATGTTTCTTGCATTTCACATGTTGATTCCTTTTAAATAGTTGACATTACTTAATGAGGGTATAGCCTGGTTGTTCCACCCCCCAATTAAATCTCATAAATTATTTCAAAGTTTGTCCCATAAAATGCAGTGATGGTGGTTTGTTCCTTTTTCTGTTTGTTGTTCACTGCCCTCCTGTGCCTTTGAGATTAATTTTTTTTTTTCTAGACTGGTGTTTGAAACAGACTTTGGATTAAATGTTTCGTATAGTTTCTTAAAGGCTGTTACTTCACCACTTTTTGTGTAAATAACATATGACAAAGATCCTGTACATCTGTCAGTTTTAATTATTGTTATTTCAAGGGTATCCTCAAATCGCAGAAAATTTAGCAGATATTCAAGTATTGTAAACAGTGCCTTCTTGATGGGTTTCTTGCTGTTCTGAGACATGTAAAACAGATTTGTCAAGTTTGTGCCATATGGAACATCTGACCTTTTGTGAGGGCTTTTGTGTTTGAAAACTAACTTTCCTGCTTAGTCAGACTCCGGGGGCAAAAAATCAACTCTTAAAACACATTAAATTACTCCCGTTTCTGGCTGGTGAGCCACAAGTGGAGGAGTGCTGGTGTTTGCTACAACGAAGCTGCAATACTTTTCGTAACACCACCACCACATAGCCATAACAAAACACCACCCTCACAGACTATTAACGTCAGAGCAAAGCAGGGTGAGGACAGAGGGCTGCAGGAGCTGTCCCTCTGTCACTCTCCTGTGACAAACGCCCCTGCCCCGGCTTTTCGTTTGACCCAGTGGGAAAATCAGTCTTCACAGCACCGAGACCATCTCCCTTGATTTGTTTCTGCTCGGTCGCC